CTCCCTTGGCTCTGGAAAGCCGAAAACCTAATGGCTGGCATGCCAGCAAATGTGGCTCCACGTGCCACCTGTGGCACGCATGCCATAGGTTCGCCGTCACAGCAATAGGGCAAAATAGCAACACTGCATGCAGGAGGGGCCTAGGGACTGATCTCTCCCGAAACCGACACCAATAGAGTAGAAACATGAAACCATGTCCCCCAATCTCCAACCCCTGGAAGTGATATCAAAAACTTCAGCGAAGCGCAGGAAGTGCTGCGGCGAGAACAGCTGGGGAAATAGCGAGCTCTGCCGAGCTACACGAAAACCCAATCGGCAAACTGCCATCAAGAGGTTTTTTTGCAGAGAAGGAGGAGCCACGTCGTGATGTTACAACATGCAGTCTCAATACTCTGAGACTGCTGTTGACACTTTTGCCACTGGAGGGTCCGTTGAGTCCTAAACCGTCCCGTAGAGACGGTGATCAGGAAGACAAAGCCTTGTTGGTCTCAGGTATATCACAAAATCCCTGATAGACCCAAGGGAAGTGCTTCAAGCCGGCCGTGAACAGGCAGCCCCGAGGCTGATGAAATTGGCATGCTCCAGAAGGAGGGAAGTGAAAAGAGAAAGTGAGTCCATCTGGTGAGGTATTTTTTNGATGCCGTCGCAACCGGTACGCTGGGACAAGGCCGGGCATCCACCTCAGGCACTCGCACTGCGCACACATGAACATTCCACCGCCCTGTGATGCCCCAGCTGCTCAGCGGAGGTCGTGCAGGAGCTGTACACTGTGTGCGTGTGCGCAATTGGCCCAGTTGCCTTAAAAACAGGTAAGGAACGCGGGCAGGCGGGTGGTCCCACCAAAATACTGTTCCAGTATGGTGGCCGCTGCTCCCAGCAGCCACCAGTACACCCATACCGGGCCGTACTGCCCAAAACGCACCACTGAATTGAAGCCCCACCACTTTTTATGTGCACTGTGTATGTGATGTACACAAAAAAAGAATGGGGTTTTGAGTTCTCATTTGGGGCTGCTAACTTCACTTTTATGACCCCGCTTTCAGTATAAGTGTCCATTCCTAAACACACTGATGTGCCAAAAGGTTTGTCTTTTTATACTTGTATCATGATATTGCATTGAAGGTATGTAAGAGGTGGCTTTGTTACTTCCCCCTACCACATACCACAAATATTGATGCACCCTTTACAAAGGAATAAGATTTATCCTGTGAAAAACACTTCCCTATCCTAATTTCAGCAAATTTGGAGATGAGAACCACTGGGTCCTGTCTACTTAAAACAGGGGTGGGAACTATGGCCCTTTTAGGAGTTCAACTCCCAGAATTCCTGAGCCAGCCATGCTCGGTCATAAAGTGGCCATAGCTCCCCTAACTTAAAAGAAAGCAAAGAATATTCATAACTTAGGGCCATTCAGTTCTCGCCTTGCTGACTACTGAGCACTTTTTCTGTAGTTCTGCCAAAGAAAATTCTTGCCTCCCACTCTGTACCATTTTCAAAATTCACTCCCCCAATGAATTGGTCCGCCTCTCTCCATTCATAAAATTGAGTGGGAGATGGTTTGAAATCCTCACATGCTGGCTGGGGAACTCTGGGAGTTGAAGTGTAAAAGTGTTCCAGTTGCCACATTTAAAGACCCCTGCTCTACAGGGGTGTGAATACTTCGTTGCTTTTTGCCAGTGATGTGCGGTGAGGTTTATGGCTGGTGAGGCACTGATGTTGTAGCATAAGTGTAGGCATGCATAGGTATGCTGGAACACGTATACAACAGCAGTAATCATTTACCATAAGGTCAGTAATACAAACTGCTGACTCTGAAGCATTAAGTAGGGCAGAGGTCACAACCTGTTAACTCTCAGCACTAAGTAGGGCAGAGGTCACAACCTGTTAACTCTCAGCACTAAGTAGGGCAGAGGTCACCACCTGCTGACTCTGAAGTATTAAGTAGGAGTCAAAAGTTTGCATGCTAGTAAAAGATTTATTT